TGCGTAGTACGTCCCTGTTATTGTTTTACCTTTTTCAAGATAGTCGATCAACACAATTCCATGACTGTCCCAAAAAACAGTCGCCATCACCTTTCCCGCCGATAAAACCGTCTTCGCTTTCTTCGGAGTAGGTTCAACCTTCGCAGTCCACTGTTTTGATTGTTCTTTCGTTTCAGGAGTGAAGTGGTGGACCCAAGTTTCATCAACCATTATTAATCGACGTAAAAAATCCGACTCGTTTCGCTTAAACCGCTCCAACAGGGCCTTAGAAATGTTCATTCGAAAGCGTTTTTGATCCAGAGTGAGCAAGCGCGGCACCCAACGCGCGGTTAACTTACGCATGCCTAATTTTTCAGTCAATATATGACAAACACGTTCTTTTGATATGCCAACAGCCTCTGCTATCTCCCTAATTTTAATTCGACGGTTGTCCATTATCATTTGATGAATTTCTTCGATGTTATCGGTGGTGGTCGCAGTTGTTGGCCGTCCCGAACGCTCATCATCAGCTAAGCTGGTTCGACCACGTTTAAATTCAGCTACCCATCTTTTCACGGTGGCAAATGATGGAGCAGAGTCCCCGTAAACAGCGTTCAACTCGGCTTTAATTTGCGTAGACGTATTGCCTTTCCAATGCAAAAATTTAATTATAGTACGATATTCAATTTCTTCCATTTTTACAAAATGTCACAAATGATTGTCAAACAAGAACTGAATGTCCAAAGTGGCCGCAATTGTTACAGATATCTTTCGTAAGTATCACGATTATAATACCAGAATGGCTTTGACGAGTAACGCCATCTTCATGATGAGGCTCAAAATTTTTCAAACGACTCTCGTATTTTGCGCTTTTTGTATTTGGGTTAGCTGTGTCTCCCCCATATCTATCAAAAGCGTCGCACAGTACTCGAAGTGTGAAGCTATTATAATCTTATACATAATACATCTAATGTAAGATATTCTATTTAAAAAACTTGTTTCCCTATTTTCCTTAACATATAATCACAATGGTCTCCAAATCTAAGCCTGTCATCAATAATTATTCCTAAATATTTCATTTTTACTACACGCTCTATCTCAACTCCATCCAAACATTTCAATTACCTCTCCATTCTTTCCTTACACTTTTAAATATCATATATTTTGTTTTATCTGCGTTTATTTTCAATTTATTTCTGTTTATGCAATTTTCGACTATATTTAATGCCTTGTTCATTTTTACCTCTAAATCCGCACTACTTTCTCCGCTTACGTATATGAGCGTATCATCTGCGAACATCTTTATATTGCACTCCTCTGGGCAGATTTTGATTATATCATTTACGTATATTATAAATAACAAAGATCCCAGTACTGATCCTTGTGGTACTCCATATTCTATTGTTCGTGATTTAGACAATTTCTGATTATATGGCACCTTCTGTTTCCTATTGTTTAAATATAATTTGAACCATTCTAAAACCCTATCCCTAAATCCATATTGATATAATTTTTCTAATAATATTTTCCTATCTATCGTTTCGAACGTTCGCTTGAGATCAATGAAAATTACACCTACCAATTTTTTTCCGCTTACTATTAATTTCCATTCGTCAATAATAGTTTGAATCGCCGTCTCACATGAATAATTTTTCCTGAACCCTGACTGATGTTCTGTTATAATAAATTCCGTTATTTTCCAAATACATTTTTAGCTGTTCTTTTACTACTAATTCTAACACTTTTTCATACATTGGTAACATATTGATAGACCTATAAACACCTGCTTTTTTGCTTTTCCTATTTTTGGAATCGGCTTTATTGTCGAAGTTTCCAGACAGCTTTTCGGAC